CCACCGCCGCCCCTGGCAGCCCGCGCGCCCGCTTCCACCACCTTCGCCCGTGACACCTTCTACCGGTCCACCCCGAGGCCCTCCGGGGCCGCTCCTCCCGCCAGGACCCACCGGGACGCCCCCGACAGTTTACCGTCGAATGCTCCGGCCGCGGCGACGCTCCTTTGGGCCCACAAGGATTCCGCTTTCAGCGCTCCTAAGAAGAGGTCGGAGGTCGACCCCCGCCGACCTACTTTTACCTCGACGAGGTCTTTCTTGCTATTGACGCTCTTTTTTATTTTAGGTCTCAAATCGGACGTCAGTCGGCGAGGGACGCTCCCGAGCTTCTCGTTGTTCCTTAGGAGTACATCCCGGAACTCCTCGAGATGGAGCGAGGGAGATGGCCGCCTTTATCCCGTTCCGCGATCAGCTGATCGGTAAAACGGAACCCCGGTACTCTGGGGTCTTATTGACGAGAGAGCCGATTGCAAGACTAGAAAGAAGGTATCTCCCTTGCTCGAGCTCGAGGCGTCTGCCTGAACGAGTTCCACTTGGTTCCACGAATCTCGCTCCGACCTCCGATTCGAGGTCGATGACGAAAACCGGGGATTAGCTCGGATCCCGGGATCTCGGGGCTAGCGGCGTACCTGGAGCTTCGGTTCAACTTCTCGCGAGATCCACGGAAACCCGGTTTTATCTACGAGCTCGAAACTCTCCTTCCGACGAGGATCGGCACTCTGGAGATCCTCCCTCTCTATTTATTTATTTACTCGTATTGTTTATAGTCGCCGGATCTCCGCATTGCGGAGTTTCGAGACACGCGAGTCACGCCTGTGCCCAGAATCCCGGAATACCGAGATCCCGGAGGAAGATAGAAACGGAGAGAGGAGAGATGACCGTTTCCTGACGGCGAGTCGAGTATTATCGGATTTTGATTACTCCTCTGCTTTATCACCGGGTTAAACACGAATCGGGCGATCCTCGGGCGACACGTGCGAGGGTCGACTCGGTCGACGCCTCTTACACTGTAAACACTGACGAGCGAAGGAGATGACTTAATTTACGTTTACGCGATTTTGGGAGATTTGCAGGAGTAATTAGCACTTCACTGAATTATCCGTTGATTTACGGGTTAGGTGCCAGGAAATGAATTCGGGATTTTGCCAGGTCCCACGAAGGGCGACGCGTTTCGGCTCCGACGAGAGGCGCGACGTCGCGTTTCTATTTACTTCGCGTATAACGGCAGACTGGCCGTTAGGGGAGGTGGAAACGGATTCGATAACTCTCCCTTCCCCGCCGCGCGTCGACGTAACGGAGCGCCGCGGCGCGTCGCGGCGCGCCCGCGGACCGCGAATGTAGGGCTCTAGGTCGCGCCTGGTCGAAGCGTGGCTAAGGCCCCGTCCTAGGGGATTCCTCGATTTCAGGACCTCTATCGCGTTTGTTCCCTTACGAACCTGTGCAATAACTGTCCATAAGGACCTTCAGGAACTCCCGATATTTAATTTTAGAATCGAAGTTAATCTCGAAATATAGGAAACAATCATCTGTATTCGTGGAAATCACGGAAGGGCTGTTTTTTCAGTATTTAGGTCGCTCTGCTCTGCCCCACGGACTACCGAATTTAAGAGGCGCCGAATGTCTACCGAGGAAGAGATTTACCTCATTTATTCCTCCACGAGTCCATGCAATAACCATCTATAAGAACCTTTAAAAACGATATTTAAATTCCGAAATCGAGGTTAAGGGCGTAGTATAGGCGGAATGAAATTCCTATTTTCGTTGAAATAACGGAAGGGGTGTCTCTATGATTTTGTACCCGTCTCCGGAGCCGTTTCACGAATTTTCGAATTTCAGGAGCCCGTAATCTCCGTCGAGGAGGTCCACCGGATTTATTTATCCACGAGTATATGCAATGACCGTCTGTGAGGGCGTTTGGAAACCCACGATATTTAATTTCGGTATCAAATGCTAAGAGCGAAATACAAGTGGTGAGTCGATGTATCGTAATCGCGGGAGGGTCGTTTTTAGAGTCTCTGGGTCACTTTGGAACCGTCACGCGGATTTCCGAATTTCCTCCGAGTCGGGTCCATCCCGAGGCCTTGACGCGGTCCGTCTCCCTCCACCCTCCGTCTCTCTCCGCCACGCCGCGCGCACCCTCGGGCCGTCCCTTACATTGCATGGAGCACTAACATTTCCGAGGAGGAGCCGCCGTCGGGCAGAGGAGGGCGCTCCCGGGGCCTGGCCACCGGGCCCGTCGCGACCCGCTTCCGGGTCGGATCGATCCCCGCGGTGCTTCGTCCTGGCTCGACGCTCGACGGGTCCGACTCCCGGGTCGCCTCCGATCGGGCCCCGCACCGTACGACGACGCCGAGGATCTCGGCAGGACACGCGACGTCGGCACACCACGTCGGGACGACGTCGGAGCTCTCGCGCTCGCGAATACCTCAGCTGGAGGGCTCCGCTCCGCGGCGGCGTCGGCCGCCCTCGGGACGCCTCGGCGCGCCTCGGCCGCGTCGGCGCGGCCGCCCCGTGACGTCAGCCGGCGGCCTCCGTCGCGCCGCGACCGCCCGCGACGCGTCGATTCCTCGCGGCTATCGATCGACCCGCCACCCAAGGGGCGCATGCGAGGCGCCGCGACGCCGCGCGCAGCGCGCCCGGACCGACGCCGGTGCACGTGTTCGTCCTAACCCTTCCCGCTTCCTGCTTTCAGATTCCCTTTCCTGCCGCGCGGACTCAAAATATGTAAAAAAGATATATGTATATGATTTATATATATAACATTTATATATATATATAAAACATGAAAATACTTATAAAACCTTTCTCCAACCTGGGTGCACCGAATCATGTGGAACTTTGGCGCGTGATTATGGAGATCCTAAGGAAGAACGCGATGCTCATGATATTTCATTTTTCAAAGAAAATTGTGTCTTTGCTTCCAGTCTGGGATAAATAACAATATTTTTGTCTCAGAAATGAAATTTTACGAGCATCGCGTTCTTCTTCGGGGTCCCCATAATCACGTGCTGAAGTTTCAAATGATCGGTGCACGCAGCTTGGAGAAAAGTTTTATAAATATTTTCACTTTTTGGTATACGTATATGACACTTTCGTAACATCTTAAGAAAGGTCCTGGTACTGATTAGATTTAATTTTTTTTATAAAAAGTTAAAGATGTTCAACGCAACGACTTTCTTAAAATTGGTACGAATGTCAAACGTGTGGTTTGGATTTTTCATTTCTTCTCCCATAACCTTCTACATTGGTGGTCACGAATAGCATGTTCTGCGATGATAGCACGATGACCACAAGAAAGATGTTCGTGACCATTAGTGTACGTAGGTAATCGCTTGTCCGTCCATAATTCTAGGAGTACATTGCTGAGGTAATAACGAAACGCAATATCATCTCAACGTCGTAGTTGATCTTTGATCAGTCGTTATTGATTTCATGTTCCCTTTTCTGGCCCTGTGTCTTCCATAAAGTTGATACGATCGTGAAACGGGTGGTCCAGATTCACGATGATTTTTACCCTCAATGTCCTTGTGCATTGGTGGGCATGAATGCCTTATCAAGTACCGATAACATCATATCCGGAAGAAGCATTCGTGTCCATCCGTGTACTCAGGTGATCGCATTTTTCTCCGCTTCTCTAGGAATACCTTCCTCGGGAAATAACGGAATGCGATGTCTTTGCGATGTCGTAGTCGATCGTTAATCAGTCGTTCGCGTCATCGGCATTCATTTCGGACGCACGGTGTCAATTACCGATGACACGGCACAAGTGTATACACTGGGAGGAGACAATGAGGATGACTTTCAATTTCGTTGACATTACCGGCCACTTGCGGCCCGACATTTAATATCATGACCAACCAAGAGATGAAGGTAATAGTTAAAAAAGTAAACTCCATTAGTTAAAGTGTGTGGAAGCCCAAAAGCACGGCTGTCGGTCGATCGATTGTTCCTGGTAGTCTTTTGGTGGTTGACAAAGGATAAACGTAAGAAGTTCACGGAGAGAAGCACATACAGAGGATACAGTATCTTCGGCATCGTTTGCTGTTTTTAACGTCATTCTTTCTCTAATAAAAGACCTTGTATTTCTTGTTCTGACTAGGTCCCCCTGGAAATTAAAAAATTAAATAAATGTTAACATAAATAAATAAATAAATATACACGTACAAAGGTTTCGTCGCGTCGCGAGGATTGAAACCATAGCTTATAGAAATGTTATATATGTATACGTTGGGGTCAGAAGAGGTCAGACGAAGATATTTCATTTCTAAACGTCTGCAAAAGGACGCTCTACGCGCATTAGGAATCTCTTGATACACAAAACAAACGACAGCGTGAATGGTAAAAAGCACGCGAAGGAATTTCTTATTTTCATTCAATGAGAAGTTAATTTATTTTTAAACATATCACTTTCATTACAAAGTGCTATAAATACATTTTAAGCCAGTGCGCTAAGATCTTTTAGAAATGTTGAAAGTCGAAAGATACCTCTAACCTCCACCCCACTCTTCCACTCATTATTATTGTATTATTATATGCCGTACGGTTGAAACTCGATCCGCCATGTTGAAACTCGGGGCACGTGACATAAATAAAGGAGAACGATATCACGCGGAGTGGCGGCTCGTAAACGGGTCCCCCGACAGCTAATTCCAGGGTCGAAGCGCAGTTAACTCGGTTCAGAGGCGAGCGTACTCTCGTGGAAACTCGCGACAGGATTCGCGGCGTCTCGGGATTCGAAAAGATACGCGCCCGAGCGCGCGCACCTCGCCTTCCGCTGTGCCGGCCGAGCGGAAAGCGGACGGGGCGGAGGGGGGGAAGGTCGCCGTAACGCCCGGGACACAATGGGTCGCGCGGCCGGAGCCAATGGCGGGCGGCAACAGCGCGGTCCAGCGGCAAGGCGCGCGCCGATTGGCCGGCGGTCGGGCGCCGCCGCCAGAGCCACTCTCGGCGGGCGGCGGCGGAGTCGGCCGGGGAGCGGCGCGTCAGTCGTGCTACCGCGCCGCATCGCGCCGCATCGCGTCCTCCGCGCCGCGGGAACAAGTTGGGTTCGGCTCGGTGGAGGGGATAGGACCGCGGGAGGGGGCCAGAAGAGCGGCGGAGAGCCGCGGCGGCCGAAAGCGCATAGCGAGAGGGCCATCACTCGGTGCGCCGCCCCGCAACCAGGTTCGTGTGCCGCCTCAGACGTTACTCTAGGGTAAACCTCTCGCGTCCCGAGGCGGTCGTTCTCGCCGGTCGCTGCGCGCGCACGCGCGAGCGGGAGAGCGATCGGTCCGCGGACGCGGGCACGCCGGGCGCGGACCCGCGACGACGCCGCGGTCCGCGTCGCCGGGATCGGCCGCGCGCGGTTCGCCGAAGGTCGGCCGGCCGATCGATCGCGCGAGTGCCGGCCTCCGGTTTCGCCGGCACGTGCGTTGCCGCCGGCCGACGAGAGACGTGCACCGGTACATCAGTGAACGACCCATGCCCACGGTTTTTGGTGAAGAGTGCGCGGACGTGGGCGGCCCGACGGCTCCCAGGACGCCGCGCGCCAGTCGCGTTGTCACGTAAATCCGCGAGCAGCGGGAACCAGCGTTCCTGCGCCGAGCGGTAGAACACTGATTATCAACGAGTTATTGCCGCGTTACTAATTAAGAATAATTGCCGCGCCGCCTGTTCGTTAAAGGTAATTGCACGACCCGATGGCGGCTCGGCCGCGCTCGGGCGCGCTCGGCCCGGCTCGGCTCCCCTCGGGTGATCGCGCCGCGAGAGGAGCCCGCGCCCCCTCCCGCCGCCCGACGCCCCGCGACTTGATCTACGCGCTCGGCGCAGCTGCACCCGTCCTGGACGCGCGGCCTACCTTGCGGCCGATTAGGTTACATCGACGCCTCCTCCGGTTCCTCACGGCGCCCGTGCCCTTTCTCGCCATTTCTACCTTTTTCTCCACCCCGAGAACGCCGCCACTAGACGCGCTCTACCTTTCAGAGCGCTCCGTATATTATTTTCTTTTTTCCCCATTCTTTTCGCGCCGGTGCAGCCAGTGCAGCCGACGCGACGCGCACGCGGCGTCCGGCCGAACGGTTCTCGAGGGCACCCGCGAAACCCGTTTCCCGGCCCTCCTCGCTAGACTCTCGTTTCTGAGGGTCCATCGGTCTTCCTCCTCGACTCGCTCGATTTCCTTCCACTCTCCTAGCTTTTATCGGGGAGGCATTCATTCGCGGGACCCGGGACGACGCCGCGTTAATAGATCGCGGAGAATGACGCACCTGGTGGCGCGTCGAAGTGTTGGGATTCTTTGTTTCCTCGCTTTTTCTTAACGAGCCGATATGGGAGGGGGGGGGGGGGATTTCGGCGATGCCGAGATAAGGCCTTCCGGGATCGACGCGACTCGCTCTTAGATCGGTTAATTCGCCGGCGTAACGGGATGCATTCCGTGGAATCGAGACGGGCTTACGTAATGCACTTTCGCCCCGGAATATGGGGAAACCTGATTTATTCGCACTGTATCAATATCCAAGCGATTCTTTATCTCTTGGGATTCGGTGGACATAAACGTTGTCTCTTTCTCTTTCGTTGCCAACCCTTTCGCGCGTGCTATTGCGAGCGTTTTTTTTTCTCGCATTCCGTCAACTCCAGGATCATATTATGTTGCAAGTACGTAGTTTCGCGATCTCGTCGCGTCTTCCCGTTGACCGAGAAAAACTGCGGGGCTCAGCCCGCGTTCGTATTTTGTTTTATCCTCACGCTTTCGTATTCTTCCTTTTTTTTTTTTTATTGTTTGTCTGCGTTCGTATCTTTCGTCCGTCCGTTTAGTATTTTTTTCGAGTTCGCGACAAGGGCGGAGGTAACCATTTTCCCGGTAAAGGAAATCTTTCGGAAGAGGGCGACCGCCCCCTCGTCTATCTCTCTCTTTCGCCCTCTTTCTCGGCCGGCAAGCCGCCGGCTTCTCTTTTTCCCGTTCGCCCGGTCTCTCGCTATATATCTCTCTCTCTCGTGCGACCGGAGTCGCGCCTCGCTCCGTCTCGGTCGCACTCTCCCGAGAAGAGTATATCCCGCGTATCCCGCCCCCGAATGGCGCCCGCTCGTTATTTGATCGATACCGAAGCCGAACGTTACCGCCTTACCGTGCCCCCCCCCCCCCTCTAATCCGAGCCACTCGACGGATGACCTCGCCTTCCCCACCCTCCTCCGCCTCCTTCCCGCACCCCTCGACGTCTTCGGATGAAAGGTGCTCCCCGTCGACCGTAGTACGAACTGCACTCCGACTAAAGTATTTTCAGGGATGGATAAATGTTTGCTCGATCGTCGGTTCCTCCGCTCTTGGCTGCTCTTCGAGGCTCGCCATTGCTAACGCGAACGCGGAAAAAGTCGAGTGGACAGGTACGCGTATTTTAAGAACATGGGGGGCGTAGGTTAGGTGACAATTGTCGTGCAACGTTGTTGTCGAAAAATATATCATGGGAAATTCATCGCGATACGCCCGTCGTTGAAATGAACCTTGCGGAAGATCCTTGAATGTTTATCGTAAAGAATTTATTGCGAGAAAATTCAATGCCGAAAGACCATTCAGGATTTGTTTTGAGAATTCCATCGTGGGAAATTTTTATCGGGAAATATCAAGCGCAAAAAGTTGATCGTGGAAGATGTAGCGGAAAATTGCGTTAACCATTAACCGTGGGCGGTTAAGAGGGTATTGTTAGGGCGACAAACATCGTATTATGCTTGGTAATCTTACATTTGAAGTTTCTATATATATATTTTTTTATATTATATATGTATACACACATTTTGACGGTTTGATATTAATAGAATATATTTGATCTTGTTGAAGTGGATAACTAAATGTGCTCGCTCTACCGTCCCAATTTCTTTTCTTCTTCTTTTATATCACCGTCTACCTCCCTTTTGATCTGAATTTTAATGTACGTGGGTTCACGGAAGTACCAATACCGTTTGTAATTAATCCACCATAGGTTCCTGAAATGAGTATATAGTTAGTAATAGATTTATCCGACAGCGATGTTGACTATACTGAATGAATCAATATAATAGTAAACTACACTCTACGTACATATATGCATATTAGCGTGGCAAGTGCCAATACATATATAGAAAAGTTGAAATGTAAATTCACCACATGCAATACTTCTGTCGCTTTAAAAATACGCCTTGCATTACTGCGCTGTGAAGAAATTCCGAAAACGAGATAGGGAATTTTTGCCGGGGCTAGGACGAAAGAGAAAAAAAAAAAGTAGGGAAAGATCGTAAGATGAGATCGATAAGACGTGTACCGGGATATCGCGGCGCTTTGTGGGGATGTTCCCTCTGGGTTGTTTATTCTTAATCTCTATTTCGGTGGTGCTTTATTTTTTTTCTTCTTTTTTCTTCCTTTCTCTCCTTCCTTCTTTTAGGTTACGCTAATCCTGGATCGGTCCGCGCGTCGAAAAACGAGGAAAGAGGTCGCACCTCGGTGAAAATGCGGAGCACCGCGCGTACATAGTGCATACGCTATTTCCGTCGCGTTTAAGAGAGTAGGTCGTAGAGGCAGGGTCTTTCCTCCTATACGTTACGGAATCTCTAGGAGAATCTCTCGCTCGTAGCGTCAGTCGCCTAATCGCTTTTTACACTCCACCTTGCGTTCTATCGCTCTCTACGTCGTGTCGCGACGTAAAATTCCTGGCGGTGGCTCTAGAGTTTGAAAATTCTCGATAACGTAAAATTACAGAAGGTAACCGCGAAACATATATATATACACCACGAGTTACTGAGAATATCGAGAACTTATGAGAATTTTTATTTTACCATTTATACCTTAGGTATCTTCGTTTAAATGACATTTTTCTTTTCAATGCACCTCGCGGTTCAGGCTAAAGAGGAGAGAAGTACTACTAAATGATATCGATTATAGGGTCTTATTTACTTTCAGCTAAATATATATTCACGTGAAATTCCATTTCGATTTGTTTCAAAGCCAGCAGCGATATTTCATCGCGCGACGAGGTTAATGGAGGGGTTTGATTGGCTACAGAGAATTTGCAACGGGAATTACCCCTCTACGATGATTCCTATGGCTGATCGGACCTCTGGTGTGAAAATGTAAATTTTCATAATTTCTCGATTGAAACAAAAAAAAAAGAAGAAAAAAATAAACTACGCTTTGGGGGAAATTACCGATAAGTCGCGCGGGAATTTCTCATCGTTCCTGACGTAACTTACCGCATTTAGAACTAGGTGGCTCGTGCTTTGACGTGGATGATACGAAAATGTCGACGAATGAAAAAAAAGTCCGGGAATCGATCCCCCTTCTCGGTTTCTCATCGGCGCCTCGCGACGTTAAAACTTTCCGCCCGGCTCGTTATTTCTCACGGCGAAAATACAATTATCGTCGGCCGATAATCGTCCTATCGGCGCGCGTAATCCGCACCTTATCAGGCGCCGAAATTTTCATCCGAGCGACACCGCTCGGCCGTTTTGCGTCGCACTTGAGACGTCGTGACACTTGACGGTAACTATTTCGTCGTTTGTGCACCGATTAGAAACCGATCCAACATCTCGCGTAGTTCGATGTGATTCGATACGCCTGATCGTCGGTCGATTATTATTTTTAGAAAATCACCGGGCATGGCGCGACGTCGATGTGCACCTCGAGTCGTCGCGCATTTACCTACGGAAGCATTTACAATTTAATGAACGAGAGTCGCCGAATCGACCTGCAACGTTGACATGGAATTAGGATGTGCAGGGTGTATCGGAAATATCGTCCACGGGGTACACGATGCTAGCCTTAATATGAATGGAGTTGCAAAGTTTTGTATTTATTTTTTTTTCCCCTCTGTACATAGTATAGTTTGTCTGTAATAATTAATTTATTGAAAAATAGCCAAGTAGACGTCTTAATTAACAGAGCACATGGACGTTGAATATATACCGAGTGTGATGGAATTCGTGCCCATGGTTTATACGTACACTCATTAAGATGGGTAATGGGATTGAAAGGTCTTGCATTATTTTTTTTCTTTTTTTCCCACGGTGAATTATTTGTCTGCAATCATTAAGTGAAAAATGCCAACGAGTCGCCTCGATTATCGAAGCACGTATGCGAGAGAGCATGTTCTAAATTCTCTTGCTTACAATTAGTGATATGGCGAGTCGAGTACTACGATTTAAATGATGGTTTACACGTCATT